GGCTTGTGTCGCGTAAGTTTCGTCGGTACGAAGTTACGGAAAATCAGTTAATTAAAAAACGGAGACGTAACATTATTTTCAAGATCAATAACTTCATTTTCCATTATCAGTATGTGTGGTAGTTGGAATCACTATTATTTACCAGTATTATGATTATCAGCACTAATACAAATATACTAATCATTACATCCCTAGTGGTAAGTAATCAGTTCTATTCATGTGTATTAAATGAAACTAAATAGTTTTGAAATAAAAAAAAAAAATTAAGTTTCAAATATTTTACAGGATTCATCTGGGTCCTGAAAAACCTGTAAAGTTCTAAAAAATTATAAACTTAATTGTACAGACCTGGATAGTCCTAGAAAATGATGATGTGGTCAAGAGCTCTAGAAATCTAAAATACCTTCATAAAAATATTTTTTTATCTAGAAACTGTATCTGCAAATTAAATGTTTCTCTTTTAGATGTTGTTTTAAATCCTATTTCTCATGATTCACCTTCAACTAAGACAATTGTAGCTTATAAGAACATGGATGGAAATGTTTAAGAAGGGATTAATTGACACTTCAGAAAAATGCCATTGCAATAGATTTGATAGAAGATATGTATACCATTCTGTTTATTAACTTCACAGTGATATAGTTATACCCTGAAACATTACCTTTATAACTGCATTTCATGAACAAAAAGACTTAGTGTGCCATGGAAGTGTTGAATTCTCCAGGCAAGCAAAGGTATAAATAGTTGGTGACTTCAGCGATTGGTTGTAGAAAGACAGTAATATTTCATTATTCCTATTAGGTAATCTAGCATTTTATATGTTAGCAGCTTGTAGATCTAGTGAAACTTAATTATCATATTATTTTGAATTCAAATACAAATGAAACTACTCATGCTTAGATGTACTGTTTCAGGTTCAGTCATTTAGAGGCCACTAAAATTATGCTTAATAATAACATTAAATTAATAATGAATAAATACAAATAAAATAAATGAAAGTTATTTCTTACATAAGTTAACAAAGCTGAGATAAACTGGCTTGGATTTGAGATTGAGTAAAATCAGTTAAATACACAGCTCTAATTGTGTTACATTTGAATTTCATAAAATAGTTATAATTCAAGCTGAACTCAAGACAAAATATCTTATCAGCCAGCTTGAAACAAGAAATATCAAACATCTTACCTTGTAAAACAGTGGGCTGCATATTACATTTACATAATGATTTTTATTTTACTGGATGTAACGTTCGTTTTTTTTACTTTTATTTTAAAAGCAAGACATTTTGCAAACCAAGTTGAATATATGTACACATATATGTAGTATTATTAAAACATACATATGTGCTTTGCATGTATTTGCTGTATAATGCATCTATTTCAGTTTTAAATGACAAAACAGTTGACGGTATGAAATGGAAATAATATCATGTCGTTATCAATTTACAGTGAGGTCAGCAAAATAAGTTTACATGCTTTAACACCTGTAGCTGTGGGCTTTTATGATCTTAATAAACCCTTATTATATGTAAATGTATTAAATATTAGATACAGAACTGCATGTTTGACACATCATATTTAAGGAATTACCCTGTGAATTCTAGGAGATTGAATCACATTTTAAAGAAGTAGTGTATCAATAATTGGACAATAACTAATTTATGAATTATGAATAAATCACCTTACAAAATATTTATAAGTAATGGGGAATTGTGTGTATCATTTATTTTAGTGAATAACTATTAGTATTTCCAAGTCTGTGATCTCTGAGGATAATATTTCATGTAACTTATTCTAAAATATAGTTAGTAAATTATATAATTTATTTAAGTACTTGAAATATGTATAAATTTTTTATTTTTTCCACAGTTTGAGCAGTTTGAAAGCACAATAGGGTTCAAACTTGTCAACCACAAAGCTGCTAAACGGTTGTGGAAAGTTTGTGTAGAACATCACACTTTTTTCAGGTTGGTAATATGTTTCATATATGATTATCTAACTGATAACTTTGTTTCTGGTTTCCTTGTCTCATCTTTTAACCATGGTAATCAGTGTGACTAACATCTTTGATTTTCAAGTAAATGTAGTGCCATATCAGCATTATAGACAAGACAATCTTAAGCATCGGTAATATGACTTACATCATCAAGTGATATTTGTTCGAAAAAGTACACAAGGCTGAAATTTTAGAAAAACTTTTTACCAATTTTCTATCAAGAAGAAGAGGGGTTAGTCATTATGTAAAACAACCATGAGGTTAGATTTGTTTTATCACTTAAATAGTCAGCTTGAACAATGCAGTTAAAGGTACAGAAATAAGTTACATACTCTGTGATCATTCTAGGCACAGAAAATTTCAAATAAACATATAAAGGAATCATTAACTATAACTCACATTTGTAGATAGATCAGAACAGTAATCCATAGCAAACATCCCGTTTAATGAAATTATGAAGTTCTTCCAATTAACTGTTTTGTTTTATCGGATGGGTGATCTAAAAAATCCAAACAACTAGTCATGAAACAAAATACTTCTGAATTTGGAATAATTATTTCTTGATATGAAGTAAAGTATTGAGTTCAATATCATGTTCATGTATGTAAAGTACCACTTATCAATATGATATGTAAACATTCGGTACAATATTAGATCTGTTGTGCTGTATACATGGCTGTTTCACTTACTCTTTATTAATGTTTAGCAATATATCCTATTTTAGTTTTAATTTTCAGTGAATTTTTTTTAATATTCTTATAGATTAATGACACCTGAACCTCCCCCAAAACAAAAGCTGTTTGCCCCACGATTTGGATCCAAATTTCGTTACTCGGGACGAACTCAGTATCAGACTCGTCAAGCCAGTGCACTTATTGATCGACCGCCTCCCGACTTTCAGCGAACACTCAGCAACAAACGGTTAACAAGAAGCATGGACAGTGGTGAGAGCTTTATGCAGTTTTCTTGTATGACAAAAACTGTTTCTTTGATTTTAAAATTTATGTTTTGAATTTATAGTGAGCATGAAGATTAAAAGGAATTTATGCAAAGCTGAGGAAAATATTGTTTATTTGAGGCATGATGGGAAGCATTTTTAAATGCTTTTTTGCAGTTTTGTGTGTTCTTTTAAGGTAGCATTTATGCTGGATAATGGGGGTGTTGAAAAGGATTTTGATTGTTCGGTCACTACTTCAACAGGTTTATGCCCATGGGTTTAAATAATTGGTGGAAAATTTTGATTCTGTATGCTGATATCAAACAATATTTTCCAATTATTGAAGTTCAATTAAAGAAATGTAAACGTAAAAGCAGAATATTATTGTTGATTTTAATGATAGTAAAAGCTAGGTTCTTAAGTATGATAAATACAGCTAGAACTTATAGAAGAAAGCAAGACACAGGCTAAAACTTTGGAAAACAATAGGATGTGTCTGGGTGGAAGAGATGTTTAGAAAAGTACACTGTGGCACCTACAATGTATTAAGGATCCATCTATTAAACTTAAATTCCTATTGCTATGTGGGTCCTGCTTGTTGTGATACCTATTCAACTAGGACTTACTTCATTGTTTCTGCTGTGTAACTTACATCGTTGTTTTTTATGTTATACTGTATGTGCAAAGCTCTTTAGTTTCAGTTGACTGTTAAATCAATTTCCCCAAAAGGGGGCCAAAGGCCGCCTGAAGGGGTCATCTGTTTTAACTGCTTGCACCACTATATAGTTGTGTTGTGTCTGTCAGTCAGTCAGTAGACATTAAAATTATCTTGCATAAGGGACACTTAACATTGCTGACACGATGTCAGTAAAACATACACATGCCATGAATCACGAGAAGAGTTATGCACTCTGTAAGCTACAACACAGCATAACATAAGAACTTCAAAAGCAAGAAATAGAAATATTTGTTACTCTTAATTTTGGTCTTGTTTACTCTTGAAACAAAACACTTTTGGAGACCTTGCAGAAGTACACCTAGTATTTCATCAGCAATTTTGAAATGCTCTTTTACTCTTTAGATATTATTATTAAAAACTAGCTTTAGGAGTAAAGTCAGAGCAGATTGAACTCTGTTTGGCACAAATTTAGGTCACCCGTTGTACAATGATTCTACATTTGTATTATTTGATATGTAAAATCTGCTGACTTTCCTTGTTTATACTTTGGCAGCATGCCCCACCATATCAATTAGGCAGCATAATTAAGTAATTATGATTCATTTGGTTGCCTGTTGGTTGAAAATTTGACCTAGAAAAAAGGACTGAAACAGTTTAAAAGCATAATTCAAAAGTTTAGCACAGGAGAATATAGAAACTTTATTGTAAGCATCCACAAAAGTTCAACCAAATTGAACCTTTCCGACTTAAATGTTCCCAAATCTGTATTAGGAATTTTTCAATGATAGTTTAGATTTATGAATTAAGATGCTATTGAGAAAGGGTTTGAAAATTTTACCATACAAAATTATTTTATATAAGCTTTACCCTAGAACTGATCAAATGCATGAACTTAAGGTTTAAATATTGAGGAATAGTTTAAATTTGTTATAATCTGTGAAAGAGAGTAATTTACGAATTTTTATGTAACTTGATCAACCCTATCGCTACAGGTTTTCCTAGGGTCAGGAGTCAAAGGGCATGTCACAATGTTTATAGACTTACATTGAAAGTTTTATTGAAATACTATTTTATGAATGTATGTCAATAAGTTTGGTATCAAATGATTCATCAGGTGGAAAATGAAGTTTATAATAAATATTAAAAACATGGTAATACCAAAAAACATCTTTAAATATAGACATTTTGGAATCTCTTCAAATTCCATCACCAACATTAATATCACAAAAAAAAGTTAGTTCATAACATTCAAACTACAAAAAACAGCATTAGCTATTGAGTGAGTTTTCGTATTCAGTCGGAAGTTTAGAAAGAACAGATTTAAACAGTAACAATGTAATGGAATGTACGATAAAACATATAGCATACATGTTTAACAAATAACATCGTTAAGAGAAAACCATTACAGAGAAAGGCTTAAATATAATTATAAACGCTGTGTCTATAAAATAATAATAAATGTCAAATAAAACACTGATAATCTGGAATTGATTACAGTAATGACAACAGTGAGGAGTTGATGTTATTATTTAGTATTGGGTGATCATTGAAAATGGAGAGGCTTTCTTTAACCCGTGGTTCTGGAGTCGAGAATTTTAAAGTTTTCTAGAAGTATGAGGTGATTGTTATTCTCAATGTGCAATTGGATACAAGACTCAGGTGGATTAGTTAGCTTATATCTGCTTCTAGCTGAAATTCCCATGTGCTCGTGTGCATGTATTTGTAGGTGACATGTTGTTTTACCAATACAGGTAGCTATACAGCTACTGCAAGTGTATTTATATACGACCCACAAAGTCATACATAAGACCATATCTGACACCACTTTTCCAGAACTTTATCCTACAGGTCCTCCTCCTCCCCCAATCTCATGTATGGCTTGCCAAAAATGGTTTACCTCCCAGACCTATTCTATCTACTGTTTGTTCCCATGCCTAAAAATGTGCTAAATATCTTGTACCTGCATTAAGCTCACTAGCTAAGAATGAATTTACTGTGAAAGATTCTTTTTCCTACCAAAAACTTGCACAGTATCTCAATATCCATTAGATCTTATCATTCCTTTCATTGGCAAAGTTTTAAACACAAATATCAAATTAGAAAATAATAAATACATATTACCCACAAATTGAACCAAGTTTAGTATTTACATCACTATTTAGAATTAAAAATATATTTAAAACCAGAGACACTACCCATTCCAATAAACTTGTCATATATAAATGCACTTGTGGTAGTTGTATAGCTACCTGTATTGGTAAAACTACGCCTCACCTAGATTTTGTTGAATTTGGTAATTGATTAATTGTTGGGCTCATTAATCATTTACATGCAATTAATAGATTCTCACATGAGATTAGGATAGTTGGAATAATTGAGAACAGTAATTGTCAGAAACATTGATTTCATTTAGTTGATAACTTTACATGACACTATTTGATGTTATCGATGCCTGTTGGTGATTAATTACATTGTATAAACTTAAATCAACATATTGCTTGTTAGGCTTCTTAACATGACAGCCAAGGTGGAAAAAATACAGAAAAGAGACACTTGTATGAATAAGGACTTTATTCTGCTGTTGAATAAATTTGAAAGTAGTATCCTGTTTGAAAGAATTCTACATGTACAGAAATATCTTCCCTGAAATTGGTTGGTCAGCAACAACTTTAAAAAAAGTTAGTTCAGAAATATAAAATTAGGTTAGTACGTGAGTTAGTTAGTACTGAGCTTTTATATGTATTGCACCATTAAAAAACAAATATAGTAAAAAAATCCATCATTAACATCACATCTGCTAGTATAATTCAACTTTGAACATCATATCTGTGTGTTTTCAAAACAGCTTCTGTTTCTCAGGAAATTTGCAGTTTTTTTTTAATTATTAAAATGGTTGAAAGTGCTTAGAACTACAATCCTGTAATTACTAGGCTCAAGAGGAGGGGAAGTGGAGAAGTAGTTTTCTATGATAAAGCTTGTTGTCAATTGCCAAAAATGTGCTTTTAAAGAAATGCTTCTGATCATGTAAAATATAAAGACTTGTCTGATGAAGTTTTCTAGAAACAACAAAAGAAATCGTGTGTGTAGATATGTACAGAGTCCACACAGGTCATGAAAATCCTGTAAAATCAGGAATTTTATAAACTGGAAAATCAATGGTTTTTATTACGAGGCTCTGGAAATGTGCTTTAAAGTCTGATTGTATCGGTCCTACGTACCCGGTTTTTATTTACAAAAAACTATACTATTATGTTTATTTCAGATTTATGAAAATTGAACTCTAGGAAATTACTTGTAAAATGGTAATTACACTAACTTGGCACTGATCACTAACTGGATTCGATTTAGGTACCTCCATCTGTAAGTGAACAAGTGTCACAGGACTATTGTTGGAATGATGTTAGCGTAAATAAGATCAAGACTCATTTGGTAGTAGGATGAAAAACGTGATATTTTAGTATTTTTCTAATTCCATTTTTAGTGTATACACTTAAAAAAATTAGCAATGTTTCTATTCCAAGTTGATATCAGTTATTGCCTAAAATTCATTAATAAAAAGAGAAATCCCAATCCAAAGAGCAACAATATATTAGACTGAGTGTTATAAACTTAACCATTACTCAAGAAAGATAGCCTGTCAGTTTATACTGATTAGATTGACTGTTATTTATACAGTTATCAATCTAGGCAGAAACATACGCATACATATAGTACTTATGTAATATTAGGTCGTCAAGAAATTAATGTTGTGTTTTGGAACACTTTCATTACCCCCCTCCTAAAAACGTACATCACGTACAATAGTTAGACGAACCGCCTAAACGTCACGTTAGTGTAGCCTATATAATGTGTAAAGATTAGTATACTGTAATCTCTTATGGTGATGGCACACGACAAGATACGCATTCGGCATGTAATACTGTTTGAATACAAGAAGGGAAACAATGCCTCTATAGCCACAAAGAATATCAAAGAAGTTTATGAAAATGTTTTGAACGTTAGTAAGTGTCAACGATGGTTCAGCAAATTTCGTTCAGGTGACTAAAGCCTTAAAAACTGTGATGGCAAGGGCTGACATGTTGGAAATGGTATTGATCCTCTGAAGACTCTTGTTGAGTCTAATACCAGGCAACACACTCGTGAAATGGCCCTGAAATTGCATGTCTCTCATGAAATAAAACGTAAACGTCTAAGGAATATGGGAAAACTCCATAAAGATGGTGTTTGGGTGCCTCACGAACTCTCTGATCATCGTTTCCAACCCATGAATGTTGCTTTGTCTCTTCTGGTGTGTAATGTGCATGAACCATTTTTGGACAGAACTGTCACTGATAATGAAAAATGGATTCTCTATGCGAATATTAAATGCCAAAAACAATGACTCAGTCCTAGACAAAAACCACTTCCGACCTCAAAACCTGGACTCCATCCGCAGAAAGTGATGCTTTGCATTTGGTGGGACATCAAAAGAGTAATTCATTTCAAAATTCTTAATACACAGTGAACTGTCAATGTAGAGATCTGTAGTCAGCAACTGGAACATTTAAATCAAGCCCTTCATCAGAAATGCCCTTTAATCGTAAAGGTGTTCATCTTCTTCAAGACAATGCACGTCCACATGTGGCACGTTTGATGTGACAAAACATTATGGAGTTGGGTTGGGA